GTTTTTGGGTGAAAAATAAAATAGCGTTGGCTATGAACAACTAGATAAAATTACCGCAGATGTTGCTTCTCCTTTTTCCAGAATATTTAATTTCATTGTGAGGTTTGGGGGCAGGGGGGGCGTGTTTTGGCTTAGGTTATTCCCCCCTTCCCAAAGTGGGTCGTTTGGTGATTGATGACAAACTTTTGTTTAATATATTTCCCCAAGTTGCTCACATCTGTGCATTTTGATGATGTTCTTAGCCCTCTAGGCCACCTTGCATCTTCCGATATATTAATATCTAATATATTAATGATGATCATTTGCAGAAACAAGTTGCAGAAATCTGTACGATGCAAACGACTTACCAGCTGCAGAAAGAAACTCAGAAATCTGATTTGCAGAAAGCTCATTTGCTGGGATCGAATAGCTGAATAATGCTCTTTACTATCAAAAGAAGTGCCAGAAATCTAATTTGCAGAAATCCTTTTAGTTGCAGAAAGAAGGTCCGAAGTCTACTGGGCAGACCTCCAGTATATTAATGACGATTGGTTGCCTAAAAAAAATATTTAGATATATTTTTTCCTGGCAGCCTTGGGGTTCCTCTGAGTCTGTCCTGGCACACCCACGAGGCTCTTTTCCACGCCGAAGGTCCCCAACTGATCCACTGGATCTCTGGGGAGCAGGGAGGTATGTGGGAGACGTTGCTAGAGTTGAAATGTGGATGGATCCAGATACTTAGATAAGAGTTGGGGGGGGCTCTTCTTCCCAGGTCCTACCCCAAACAAAGACTTTATCCCTCAATGTCAAAGGAGTTTATTTTATTCTACAAAGTCATGAAATACATAATTTCCCAAGGATGCCCACCTTGCTGGCTTCAGGGCTCTGTTGATCCATAATCAAGACCCCACCGTTCCCCGATTCCCACCCATCCTAAGCCTGGGGGGGCAGAGATGGCCCCCTCTGAAATCAAGAATTGGGGCTCCCTTTATCCTTCCCCTGGCAGATAAAACTGCCCAGGATGTTTACGAAGAAGGTGCTGGGAGTTGAAGTCCACCCTTCTTAAAGTGGCCAAGTCTGAGAAATGCTAAATCGTCATCTGGAACCGGTGGAGAAGAAGCAAAGCCAGCCTCCCGAAAGATTTCGGGGATCCTAGATTCTCCTTGTCTTCCCATTATTTTTTTATTTTTTAAGAATGTCCTTATTTGGCTGGTAGGCCGCCCGTTCCCCGAAAGACCCGGCGGGGCCAGGATGAGGGTGCCACGGGAAGTGGGACGTTCTTCGCTACGGAGGAAGGACGCTCCTCTGCCAGAGAGGCTTCTGCTTTGGGGGGTTGGACTAGATGACCTCGAAGATCTTTCCCCACCGGTGCTTTGCTTCCTATTTATCCATGTTCAAATTAAGGGTGTGAAAGGCTGTTGGGGGGCCGGGGAAGGTTGGGGACGTGCAAGGAAAGATGCCCGCCCATCTTTTGAACCTCATTCGCTCCGTTCCTTCATGTCTCCAAGGCTGGCTTCTCAGGAACTCTTCCTTTCGAGGGGGGTGAGGGACTGGGAGGGGGGAGGCCACGAAAAACCCACAAAATCGCAGCCCCCTAAAACCTTCCA